AAATGAATAGCTTTTGTTCTGGAACTGTTTTATTTAAGGCTGTTTGAGGATTACAGAAGGCAAAAACATACAAATAGAGTTGGAAGTAAGTAGAAGAAGGTGGGTTTTAAGGAAAAGCCGAGATGCGTTCATATTTTGCCGACTCGGTTACAATTACTTGAGTTATTTTTGATCCAAATGTAAATTTAGAAGTAGTTTTACTGCAACATAGATTAATTTTGAGTAAAACCACCCCCCACCCCCTCCCAGCGTGTCCTGGGTTATCCCTTGGGGCTCCTCCCGTTTGGACGTGCCTGGAACACCTCCACGAGGGACACATCTGAAAAAGATGTCCGACCCACCTCAGCTGACTCCTCTCAATGTGGAGGAGAGGTGGCTCTACTCCGAGCCTCCCACAAATGACAGAGCTCCTCACCCCATCTCTAAGGGTGAGCCCAGCCACCCTGCAGAGAAGGCTCAAGTCTTTTCGTTTATGATCCAGATTTCATGAGCAGAGGTGAGGGTAGGAACGTACAGTAGACCGACCGGTGAATCGAATGCAATGCGTTTTTGCTCAGCGCTCTCTTTGTCACAACAGGTGCATTATCCGCATCATAGCAGCAGACACACAGATCCGTCTAATGCAGTGTGAGTAACCTAAATGGATTACCAACAAGCTTGTTCTCCAGGCAAAGTCACACAGTTCAAGTTTATGTCAAAATTGGAGTTCTTTTTTTTTCTACACAAGCTTACTTTATATCTGGTGAACCTACTGTTCTATTAGAAGTCAAGATTATTTACAGTAAGTGGTAAATATTGTCACTGGAGGCACTGGGCTTATATATTTTATATTAAAAAGTAAACCAGTTTGGAAAAGTGATTCTTCTTATTCTTATTTTTCTGTTAAAGTTTCAATTATTTAATTGTGGACTTAAATACCAGAATTTGCAAATAACTTTAAATGTTCATCTATCTTATTCCATACTCATAAATAGTAAATCAAATGTTACAAGTTACTCAGTAGTTCAGTAGCCTTTTTAGCAAAAACATTTTTATTCTAACTTGAGTAATTTCTTGGATGGCTCCTTCTCACTCTTTCCTGAGGTAAAGTAGAATGAAGTAGTGCTAATCTTACTTAAGTACAAGTTTTGGGTACTCTACCCACCTCTGAGGAAAATTAGATCTGAATATAATCTGTACAGGAATGGAAATTGATTTGGACCTTTTAAAGTATTCACCATGACAGAGGAGATGGTCAGAACCTTAAGAGACAATGGTAGTGATGTGAAAAGGATTTTAATTTAGATATTTTGACTCAAGTATGACAGAGTGCATCCACAGGTGACATTGCCCCTGTTTTTTTCTCTGCTAGGATCACAAACTCACCTGTGGCAGACATTGCTGTGGTCTGGGCCAGGTGTGAAGATGGCAGAGTTCGGGGCTTCATCCTGGAGCGTGGCATGAAAGGTTTCACAACTCCAAAGATTGAAGGCAAGTTCTCTCTGAGGGCATCTGCCACAGGTATGATCCTGATGGATGAGGTAGAAGTTCCCAACGAGAACCTGTTGCCACACATCTCAGGTCTTGGTGTAAGTGTACCGTCTTGTGTATCTGGTTCACAATGGCAGTGTAGTTGTAAGAACCCAATTTCATCTTGCTTTCTTTGATCAGGGTCCCTTTGGCTGTCTGAATAATGCCCGTTATGGTATCGCCTGGGGAGCCCTGGGGGCTGCAGAGTTCTGCTTCCACGCTGCTCGGCAGTACACTCTAGACAGGTACATTTGGTCAACAAGCACAAAGCCCATCTTAAAAAATACAAATATTTCATGATGCCATATTTCCTGACCAGAATCCAGTTTGGCGTGCCATTGGCCAGGAACCAGCTGATGCAGAAGAAGATGGCAGACATGCTCACAGAGATCACCATTGGCCTTCAGTCCTGTCTAACCCTTGGAAGACTTATTGATAAGAAGAAGTAAGCAAAGTATTTCGCGCCTTTGTTTTGTCCTTTTATAGTAATTTTATTTCAACAGCTGATATGTACCTAATGTCTAAAGAGCAGCACCAGAGATGATCTCCATGCTGAAGAGGAACAGCTGTGGCAAGGCCCTTGATATTGCCCGACAGGCCAGGGACATGCTGGGAGGAAACGGCATTGCCGATGAATACCACATCATCCGTCACGTCATGAACTTGGAGGCTGTCAACACCTATGAAGGTAAGCATGAAAAGCTGCCCAAATCAAGACCCCAACTTCAGTTTATCTATTTTTTTCTTTATATATACATATTTTTTCTCTACTACATACATGATTGCTTTAAAGTCATCCTTGCAATAAGTGAGCTACATACAAAGATATAAGTGATTCAGTGCAGGTATATTAAATATCTCATTTGAAAACTTTATAACGTTACATAAAATATGTTATTAGCAGTTTGGAGATTACTGTGTATTGTGCTCTGTGCTCGTTGCTTAGTGATGAGATGATTTCAGAGGTATGAATTTTAATTACAGCTACTTTATAATCTTCACCTTCTGACATAAATCTCAGAGTGATCAATCTGTATATGCAAAAACAAAGAAATGAGTTCTGCAGATGTATCTGTCAGCGTTCCTGGTAAGACATAATCATAAATAGCAGGGTGAGGGTACAGAGGGAGGTGCTGTTAATGTCTGTCACCTTTAGGTTTCATCTAAAGTCACCACAGTTATAGGACCAGCAGCCTCATGTAAAAAGCTGGTTAAATAACTTGGGGTGTGTAGAAAATAATGTGTGAAAGTGTGTGGCAGCTATGTAAACCTTTTATAAGTTGAACACATGTTAAAAAGTACTAAAACTTCCCAAAATAAAGTAAAATGTGAAGTCATTTAGTTTAGCTCCTTGATTCGTTTGTTATAAAATCCATGTTTCTTTCAAAATGGGGATCAGCAGAAACGTTTCCCAACATGTCAGGTGTGATGATTCACATTGTGGGCAAGCTGTAGACAATCTAACGCCTGTCCACTAATAGCTGCATAAAAGTGTGCGTAACTGTGGAATAATGACAGCCTTGGCACTGCTGGAGGACTTTGTCTGTGTTTAGAGATCCTACCTGCTGACACTTGGTAATGCCTGGCTTACAATCTGGTTTAGAATGCTCCAAGTCACAGAGCAGCACTAGTTCAAGCGCTAACTACTGTTCTGTGCGACCGGAGTTTCATATTTTGAAAAGAGAGTGAGAGGTTGGGTCAGTCAACCTGCGTCCCGTGCTAGCCACACAGGATTACCTCATCCTAATGCTGCCCAGATACATAAAACTCCCAAAATATATGCTTAAATAGAAGCACATTAAATTGCAGTTTGAGAAGGAGACAACTTGCTATATTTCTATAGAGACACGATCTATTGAATTGTTTGTTTTTATGAATAGGAAAGCATTTTCATTACAAGTTCAGCACCTATCTGTGGCTGTTAGACTATAGCTCTTATGGGCATTCAAATTATAGTAGTATTGGATCACCCTTTAAGCAGGCTCCATGTGTGAGGACTTGAAGAGTTCATTTGCAAAAACAGATAACTCAGTTTTTATACATTTCCCCAAAAAAAAAAAAAAAAAAAAAAAAATATATATATATATATATATATATATATATATATATATATATATATATATATATATATATATATATATATATATATATATACAGTGCCATGCAAAGATTAAATGACATGAATCAGCTCTTTTTTTTCAAAAATGGCTTTTATCTGTTTCTGCAAATGAACTCTTCACTTATTTATTTGTGGATGCGTGGCGTCCTGAATCCTATAAAACATTGATTGTATGTGGTGAGGTGTTCCTAATAGAAAAATTTTAATGATTCGGTATACATCAGCATTCTGCAGTAATTAAGCTCAATGCAGCAGGTAGACAGAGTCTTTGGGATTTGATAGAAACAATGTAGAGCCAATATGAGCTAGAAGACATTTTTTTAAGCTGTAAGATGTTAGTTAGCTGAACAAATATTCCTGAGATGTGTTGACAAAGTCTCTCTGTTTCCATGGTTATTGGTGGTTGCCTTCTAGGTTTTTTTTACTGACTTGCATGTTTAACTAGAGGCAGGCAGTCTAGGGAAAGAATGCGGAAATATATGAACACAAAGTTTTACTCATCTGACCTTTAAAATGTGTTCTTTTATGCATGAAATCAACGAGCTTTATGCTGCTGAATTAAAGTTAACCCAAATGTCTTATTTCACCACTGTCAGGATCTTGTCAATGTTCTGTGTATTTTAAAGCACACTTTCAGATATTATGTACAATAAAAGACATCAATATTAATAACAAACTTGCACAAGATTATAATAATATAATTAATAAGTTGACCCTTTTAATATTTTAATTTCTCCTACTTATCTATACTTGCATTGGGATTGACAAAGGTAGAGTACCTACTGATGTTTCCTAGAGCAATCTCTGTAGGAGAAGAATAGTCTCTACAACCTTATCTGGTAGTTACAAGTTAAGACCACTAGAGGGCAGTGGTGTACAGAATAACCAAGCTTGCTCTCTCAATTTGTTTTTTTTTTTTAAATGAAAACCTTGTTCAGGATGTTTTCTGTTGTTTTCCTCTGATAGGGACTCATGACATCCATGCCTTGATCCTGGGCAGAGCCATCACTGGGCTGCAGGCATTCACTGTGGAAAAGTAAATAGACCTCCATGAAACTGATGTTCTGGGAACATCGTTTTCCTTCTGTAAGAGGCAGTGCCACTGAGATTTACCATAAACACTTGTCAATATTTTTTCCAAACTACTGGGACTAAGCATTCATTTGTGTCCAGGTTAAAGGGCTACTTTATAGCCATACTGGAGCTAAACCTTGGAAACCATAACAACTGCTTTTTTTTTTTTTAACAAACCTGTCCTGATTATCATTCATTCGGGTTATGGAAGCCAGAAAATGATGGCTGGGTCATTGAATTGCATCTGACTTGGATGTACTGAGGAAGGAGGATCTTCATGCTGCTTAAAAACATCAGTGCTCCAACCACAGACTGCTCTTGTGTGAGCTGAGAGAACTGAGGAAGACTCCAGGATATGTGTGGAAACATCATAAAAACTAAGCAAAAGTCTGTTTGGCTCCGATTTAAGCCTGTTGGAATGTATTTAACTACAACTTAAAAGTATGACACTTTTATAACTTGTTGCATACACAACTGTGATATTTGTTGATACTAAATTATGTATATACATTGGTTTGAATGATTATAATTGTTGTGTATGTACAGATCACATTTAAGTTTTTTGTGCCACAATGTCCTGTAAATACCACAATAATACTTGACTTTTTTTCCCCCTTTTATTTTCCAGCATTTAATTAAACAACAGTTGCTGAAATGAAACAGGAAGAAACTCTATGTTATCTTTTTTTTTTTTTTTTTTCCAGCTTTTAGAAATTTGTGAAACGAAACCAGAGGCAAGGTCGGCGGTTTGGTGTCAGAAAAGGAAATGAGACAAATACGTGACAATAACAACACCACTGATGCCATTAAACTTGTCTTCAAATGAAATAAAAACACAACCCCTTTGGAGGATAAAGCTAGCTTGTTATTACTCTGAACCCTGATCAATGTCTAGACCACTTCTGAGACATGCTAGGGCCTGACTGGCCTCCAGGAGGTCATAGTTTAGCTTGGAGCAGTTGTCCACAACCTCTGTCAGACTTTGCAATTTCCTCTGGAATTCACTGCTGTTCTTCTCATAGATTTTGTACATTTGCTCTCTCATCAGCTGGCACATTTCTGTCACCTGAAGGACGAAAAAGTAAATAAGTTCAGAGCCTCTTTAATAACAGAAAGTTAAGTCTAAAGTAATAAAAAAATGAAATTGGAGAATCAGAGCTGTCCTGTCCCATATATATATATATATAAAAAAAACCACACACCTTCTCTATTAACTTCTCCTGAAAGCTGTCAATCATCTCCTCATCTCTGGTTCGTGAGAGGTTTATTTTTTCCACCATTTCTTGTGCTTTTTTGTTGATGTCATCAATGTAGGAGCTAAAATTAAAGTTTGAATAAAATAAAAAAAACACAAATAAAAACCCACAGTATTAGTTAAAGGTACCTAATTTCATAAAGCAATGAAGGGAATTTTTGACATTTTGGGTGTTGTTTTTTTACCTGCTCTGCTCCTCTTCAGACTCAGATATCCAAACATTTGAAGATGTTTTTCTTGATAAATCAGAGTCAGTATCTTTTAACTAAGTAAAAAGAAAAATATTGCAAGAAATGCTTTCACAAGAAAAGAAATAACATGTTTAAAGGAATATTCGAACTCTTGAATCTTGATCGTAATTTGGTAACTTAGAGAACTGTTTGGGTTTATTCCATTGATCTGAACAAAGTAAGGATTTAAAGAAACAAAATAACATATGATAAAAAAAATATCCACATATGTTTATTTTAAAATAGATTTAATCTGTCGGTGGCTTTACCATCTGAGTGTCTTCCTGTCCTTCCTTCAGAGTGGAAGAGGAGGTGGATGGGAGGTCATTATAAAAGAAATCCATTTAGCTGGTCTTAAAGTGTGGCTGAGTCTGGATTAGAGAAAATGAGAAAGAAGATACAAGGTTTGCTTCAGCCGAAGCAATAGAAAATATCCTAAAAATCTGGTAATTACATTTAAAAATATAATGATTTTGACAAGTGTACTTCTGTGCTCAAGTTAAAAGAAGCATTAAGTGGAGCCTATCAGGAATAAAAATATCAGGGAAAAAGCATTTAACTTTTTCAACCATGGATAAATCCAAAGCATGTTGTCTCAAATAATTTGTGTCAAAAATAAACAATTTGACAAGAAAATGGCCATGAAATTTAAATTTACATTATACCATTTAAACTGACTGTTTAATGTCCCAAAGTCTTTGGGTTTTTCTGTTTTCCTGGGTTTAGATTTTATTTTTATTTCTGCCCTATTCTGGGCAGCAAGTGTCTGTTGGAAATCATTCATCATTAACTTTAGCTTTATTTAGCCAAGTTTAACCAAATAATGTCACATAGTCAGCTTCTGGGCAAAGGTTCCTGCATGTTTGGGCTTCTGGCTGTTTTTACATTAGAATTATTATAGTAAAGGTTAAATCTACACTATCTGTATCAGTGCTAAAGGGCCAAGTTTATATTATTTGTGAATTTTGATAATAGGCTTCACAAATTCACTTTGGGTTAAACTTGACCCGGAAACTACAAAAAATAAAAGAATAAAATATAAACATCTATGTTTTTGCAAAATATTATTAAGATAAACAAAAGGAACTTTGAGAAAATCCTTTGAATAAAATTCTAAAAGGTAATTGTCAATAAAGTTATAATCTTCAAAAATTTAAAGTTGAAAGAAAATCTATAAAATGCAAGCATAACTGTTAACTAACAAAAAGTTTATTTTATTTGGTGAAAAATGTTGCATTTGAGTTCAATAGAAGTCAAATGTTAAAACAATCCATAAAAAAACTAAATTGATTTATATTTAAAATTAAGGGCTGCAATTCAGTTTATAATAAATCTTCTAGGTAAAATGCTTCATTAGCTTAATTGTCAGATTTGACAAGTAAAAAAAAGTAAAAATACTTTGTTACCTTACTAAAGTAGAAATTTTGGCTATCTGTAGTTTACTAATAATTTTTTACACAACTTTCTACTTCTACTCCTTACATTTTTATTTTATTTTTTTACAACTATCTCTACTTTCTACTCCTTACATTTTAAAAATACTCATTAGTTTTGTTTCATTTAAGCTCATTTTCATTATGGCCTGTGGGTATAAAAAAAAATTAATTATGAGTTTTATCCAGACAATCTCTGCTGCCCCAATTTTGTTATTTGTTGTTCAATACAAACCAAAATATATAGTATTTTAAGATGATACAAAGTAACCATTAATTATAAAACTAAGAAAATTAAGTTTAAGGAAGTTATCATCTAGAATTGTAGACACATGTCCCTTTTATAGGTTTAATAGCATCTGTCCTTGACATTTTTCCCCCTGTATTACTTCACTTTTTTTACTTTAAGTAGTTTTAAAACTGGTAGTTTTCCACTTTAACTTGTGTAAAAAGCTTAAGTTGACACTCTAACTTCTACAAAAGTGTTTTTAAACAGCAGGATTTATACTTCTACTTTAGTAATAAACATTCATACTTTTGACACCTCTGTTGTTTTGAGGTTCACCACTGATCCAAAGAAAGATTTAGCTTCAGCTAAAAGCTCTTATGTTCTGAAGATTATGTCTAAATTCCTGTTGAAAAACAAACCTGTATAGTTTGGCACAGTATACAGCAACTCAAAACAACTAGCTTAAAAAAATAACAATAAATCCAGTCTGATATTGAGACATAAATTTAGCTAAAGCTGCTCTGCTAGCAGCCGTTAGCAACAGCAGCTAGCTACATGCTAAAATATCTTAGCATGAAGCTAGAATATTGGGATTGTTTTACAGTTTATGAAGGCAAAATGTTACTCAACCTTCCATGTAATTAGTGAACTTACACACGTTTTAATTTAATATGATATATATTGCAATAATTTCTGAAGTAATATACTTGAATCTCACCTGTAAAGAAGTAAGGAGCAAATTAGCTACAACAGGCTACAAGAATGTTTAAAACTGCTGTCCTTCACAGACAATATCTACGGAAGAAACTATAAATAACTTTTAGAACATTAGGTTAGGAAGGTTACAGAATACTGAGAAATATTGATTTAGTTTTGAATAACATGTAAGATAAATTACATGATTTTTTTTTTATTTGCTCACTTCAACTGAATTTAGTTACAACCAGGTGAAAACTTGTTATTCAAACACAGATGAGTTGTTGCTTGGCTATAAATATTGTACTTCATTATATTATCTTTTTTTTGTATCTATATTATCTACTTACTTTTATTCTTCTTTGCAGTAGTTGAACAGTGACAGTACAATGTGCCTTTGGAGATCAGTTTGGACTCATTAACTATGTTTAAACTAAAATACTGCTGTTAGCAGGATACTGTACTCAGTCGCTCTTCTTAGGAAATATAATTTAATCTGCTTTTCAGCAGATCAAATTCATGTTATATTGTTTATTCTGTTTAGTTTCAAAATATAAAACATAATACATGACTTTCTGCGTCTTTATTGCATATATCTTAGGTCGGCCGTCTTGTATAAGGCTCAATGCAAGATTTGTTGTGGATTACAGGCTCTCCATCTCTGTGAGCTGGGTTAGGGTTGGTATGGGTGCTCATTGATCGCCACTGTGATCTGATGTAATCCCTGCCTTCCCTTCCTCTTCCCTCTGTCACTGCCCACACTCTGGATTATGTCAGGACAGAGGAAACAGCACACAACCGGGGGGAAATGCAACAATGCCTCTTCAACCATAGCAAATAATGTTTATTATATGATACAGAGTAGAGTAGGTTTTAGTTAGTAAATAAAAAACTTTTTTTTTTTTTTTTTTTTACACTGGAATTTATACAAGTCTTGATTGATTGACTGCGTTTTTATATTTTGAAGGTATGTTGTCAAATGTGCAGTTTTTACTTTAGAAAGAGACTCTTCTGCAGGGAGAAAACTTTAACCAGGAGCCTTTTTTTCTCTGGATGCAAGGGGAAACAGCAGAGGAAGCCCCTATTCTGGCAATATGGATGGATTTAACTACACAGAACCAGTGGGACAGTCCTTTCAGTATTTGGTACAAAACGTGGAGCCTTTGTATAAGCAGTACAAGCCCCCGCCTAAGGACCTGATCCAGCTCCCTAAATCAGTGCTGTACCTTCTCATGGCTGCCCTGGTGGTTGTTGCTGTGGCGTACGCTATCGTCGGTCACCTCATTAAAGACCTCATGCTGGATATAACAGGTAACAGATTCAGGCAACACATAAGCTCTGCAGCATAATTCTTCTTGACCTAAGCATGAGCTAATCAGGCTTTTAGCTGCATGCCTTCTGCTCCCAAATATCAGCGTTAAGTGAGGCAATTAACTTCTTTGCTCTTTCTTGAGAAGATTGTTAGATTATCTTATAGATAAAGAAATCAATAACCATCAATCAAAGGCTTTATTTAGTTATCAAGTTTCTTTTTTTACAGAATTCCAAGGAGAAAACAAGAGACTTGGTTGAAGAAAAGTGATGTGGTTGATATAGTTTGCAGATTCCTCGTAAATTCCCTGTTTTTATCCCGACCAAAGGAAAGCGTTTGGTTAATGAATGGAATGGATATGCTCACAGTTCTTCCAAAATTAGAGCAGAAACTAATCATCCCTTGGATCCTGCCTCCTAACCTCCATCACTTCACCCATTACATCATA